GTCTCAAACCAACCTGTTGTTTAGGGGAGAAGTGATGTGAAGTGGTGAAAGTAGAAACAAACCCTTAGATGTTAATCTTGCTGACAAGTAAAGTATTGCCATAGCCACGTTACTCTGATCTAATTTAAGTAGAGTTATTCAGGATTTAAAAGGCTTTCCATAGTATCTTTGCCAAGGAAGGAGTAATAATGATTTAAAGAAAACATTTAATATTCACAGTTGTTCAAGACTTCTGAAACATGAAACTTTTCAAATGTATCCTTTTTACTTAAAAAGAAAGTGGATTTTTGAACACCGCACAGGGAGTCATCTTGTCAAAAGAAGAACTAGTTAGTTAGCATGATAAAGAATTTTAGAAATGACTTTTGTCATCGGCTAGGTGCACCCAGTTCAATAAAATCGTAATCTTCTCAGGGGTCTGGACTTTCCTGCTCTAATTACCAAAAAACTGAAGAACCACTACTCCTCATTGCCACTGCTATACCAGTGTGACTGTCCTTTCCTTCCCTTCTCATAGTCTCCATATTCATACTAATGCAGCTATGAGGAACATTTCCTTGATTCATCGTGCTTGAATTAGCTTAAGAAAAGAATTATCTATGTAGAAGTACAACTTCTAACTCTCATGACTGGCAAAGGTAAAGATGAGTAAGTTGAAGTTTGAATAGTAGTTGTAGTAATTGTCGATGGTGTCACCGGTACTCTGGAGAATCCATTTTAATGGGCTGTGACACAGCCACTCAAGAATAAGTGATGCTACTCTATTATTTGAGTATTATTGTAGTGGAGAAGCAAAAGGAAACCAGCCCAGCTTTCCATTGAGAGGCAGAGTGAGGCAGTATTGTGTCGAGGTTATTTGTACAATTTTCTCAGTCTCATTTCTCATTCTCAATCAGCAGAGAGTTATCTTATATACTCATAAGATAAATACTCTGCTAGGTCTGTATATTACAGTAGACCTCAAGCCACAGTCTTTGACCCCAAAGAGCACACGGTATGCTCAGCATAACAATGATGGCGAACCTCTGAGAGTTTTCAATGATACAAACAGCTTTCTGTGGCGTGCTTACCATAGGCTCACCATCACTGGGATAAAGCAATGCCAGGTAAATGACCGTACAGCAGAGAACCAACCCAAGACCTTTACAAGCTCCATGCAGCTACACTGCTGCACAATTTATTATTAACTTTGCTTTCCTCACCAGAATACAATGAGAAATACTACAATAAATATTGTGGAGCATTTTATAAATAATGCTATAAACAGCTTAATATTAGAAAAATATTCTAATAATATTAGAAAAACAAGACTAAATAATACAATAGAAATTATTCTCATACATTCAGTATTTATGTCAACACCATAGGATCACTACCAAGGAAAAACTATTTTAGGTAAATACAATTGCCTATCTTTTGCAAAGTCAAGAAAATATCTGTGCATATTTGCAAGAGAGATTGTAGAGTCATATTATTTTGAGTATTATGCAAGCTAATTATAGTTAGAATGTCATATATAGTACGAAGTTTCCACATATCTGCAACTTCTATTTAAAATAGAATTTTAATGCATTTCAATGTTTATTGAAGTACTTAACAACTTTTAATGCTGAGATTATAAAAGGCTATTATTTACCAAAAAAGAATTATTATGTTTTTATATTCAGAAACTATTAAAACGGTCTGTGAATGAACATCTGCCCATGTGATTAACCTGTCAGTATGTTGGATTTGGAATTGTCAGTGATTTATCATGACTTTCTGCTTTTACTTATGTTTTTAAGTTTTGTTAATTTTCTCAGAATACTAGGATATTAATTTCTATTACATTTTACATCCTCAAGAGATGAAAAGTTTATATAATTGGGCATTTCTTTCAAATGCTTTCCTACAGTCATTCTTGTACCTAAGACTGAGACAGTCAGACTATAGGAAAAAGAGGTTCTTTTTTTGATAGTCATTTAATAATGAACTAATCCTAACTTTAGCATTAGTGCTTTTGCATTTTTAGCAGCATTTTCACTAGTAAATGGGGCATTACACCACAGTATTTAGCCTCTGCTATAGTAAAACCCAGATGACCTGCCTTTGAGAATAATCATCTTACATTCTCACTTTTTCTTCAGCAATATAATATTTTGGGTCTCAGTTCATAATGCGGTAACTCCCTAGTTTAATTTCATTATACTCAAAAATAACAAAAATATTTAAACTTTAACTTTATGTGCATTACACTTATTTAAAAATATATATTAAAACAATTATTGCATGGTAGAGGCCTCCATTTTTAATTATCTTTTCCTGATGGATGAAATTCATTAATATGGAAAACTTCCATACAGTTCCTTACTACTTTATTTCTTCCATGTCTCACTGCTTTGGTTCCTATCTGTATTGGAGCTTATCCTCTTATCCTTATTGGAGCTGTACATTTCCATTTAGTATTTCTATTTAGAATAAAGAGATAGAAGGATGAAAACACAATAGCCTATCATGAAATATTTTTGCCATACTTCATAGAAATTAGCAGTGAAGGCTAGAAAGCTCAGTATTCAGTATTGCTTTCAAACTGTGGTAAGATAATATTGTTACTTCAATGACTGAAAGAGGAAACACAATATGTAGTCAAGTAAGTTTTTAAAAAAGGATAACTAATCCATTTTTTTTATTCACTAAGTTTACTGATACATTTTTAGGTACACAATATGATGACATTCATCACTGAGAATTTGTACCTGTACATAACGTATCATAGTTCTTATTTTTCCCCATTTTCCTGCTCTCCCTTTAACCCCTCCTATTTTTTAAAATTAATTTTATTGATACATTTAATGTATACAATATAATGACATTCACTGTTGGAAAATTGTACCTTTGCATAATCAATCTTGGTTCTTGTTTTTTCCCCATTTCCCTGCCCTCCCTCCCTCACTATTTATGAAGATTTTGTTTTTGTTTTTTCCTTTTCTCATTTTTTTCTTTCCCTTTTTTCCTTTTCCCTACCCACCCCCCATTTCCCCTTTGGACCTTTTCTTCCTATTTCACATTATCTATTATACATTTTGGTCCCCATTTATACTTTCTCTAATATGTATTGCAAAAATTTCCCTAAACAAGTTCTCATGATGTTTTCAGGTCTTCATGGAAGGCTTTGGCTACCCTTGGATTTAAATTTTCATAGTGACTAGGGCTATTAACAGTGTTTCCTTTAAACACAATACTGTTTTGAGAATGTTATAATGCATATTCCTGGCTACATTTGTGAAACTGTACTACCCTCCTATCTGAAAGCTAAATTGTATATGTATTTAGATTTTGAAAAGCAGATTCACTTGCTTTTTAGAAAAATATTGGTAACTGGCACTTTGGTAAAGGAATGTGCAATTATAAAGGTTTATGCCACTTAATTTGGGGTTTTTTTTAATCCCTGGAATTACTCTTACTAGGCTTTAGATTCAAAAACAAATCAAGCTCCATGACTAGCACTTTTTTCCCACTAGCAATTTTTCTATTTTTCTAATGAGGTGGAATATTTCACTTGAACCATTCTTTTCAATGAATTTTCCCTTTCCTCCTCTATCTTGACCTCAAACCTTTTAAAGAACATTTTAAATCTCCAGTGGTGATTACAAAATATTTAAAATATCATGGCCATTTAATCTTATGCCTCATTTTAGTAATTTTTCTCATCAAAATAAGTAAATTCCTAAAAGGCAAATATTCAGACATTTTTATTAGTTTGTATGGGTTAAAAATAACTGAGCAATTGACCTATGTTTAACCATAATTTATGTTATAATCTGGACTTGTGTAAATAACCAAGTACATAACATTTCCATATCACCCAAAGAGAAATGGTAAGATATGTAAAAAATAGAATTCTGCATGATTATGGTTACTATATAGATAGACTCCTATTAGGTTAACAATATTTTACTGTGGTAAACCCATGGCAGAAGCAAAATGAATATTAAATGCTTACCATTAGATGTTGGCATCAATACAGATTATGCATAAACTACTGCAATAAAGGTATTCATTGTGCCTGTACCTGAAAAATTTACCATTGGTTTTCTTTGAACTTTTTCATTTAAGGATGCATAATCACTTTACATTTAAAAACAACAGAATATACAAATAAAATGATGGCCATATTTGCCATGGTGGTTAATACTCTGTTGAATTTTTGGAGGGATATTGGTTGCCGTATATTATGACATAAACCAGGCTGTTCACAAGCAACTTGTGAGCCTTCTGTACAAGTCACAGCATTTAAAAATTATACATTTTTCCCTTTCCCCACAAAATGAATTCAAAATTGACAATTCAATTTTACAATTTTAAGCTGCTAGTTTTTAAAAATTACCACATGAATTGAAAGATTAAATATCATAAGAACTACAAAAGAATGCTAATTAATAATGTAAGCCCATCCACTATCAAACATCTGATAATGTTTGGTTTCTTATAAAGCCTTAAAATATTTTACTAAAAATTAATTACCTGGAAAAGAAGGCACTTTATTATCTTGAACTAAATATTTGTCTGTATAGAATTTGTCTAAAATCCCTTAAAATATTCTTTATCCTTTTATAAATATATTCTAGTTGTATGTTTTTCTAAAGCCACTTAGAGTATTATGTAATAAATCAAACTATTTTAATTAACACAAAATTGTTGCATAATATAACCAATGAACAACACAGAAATAAAAGTCAAAAGTAACACACTCTATGTGATAATGGCAAAACTAAGTCTACAATCATTTGAAGTTAAAACGTAAATTTTGAAGACTTTTTTTCACTGACCAATTTTTGGCCAGTTTTTATTTTTTTAAATCTCATTTTTAATTTTTATTGCCATGTCTTGAAATGTTAATCAAATATAATGACAGTCAAAGTTATTAGTTAGCCTATCATAACTCAGCTTTTAGTTGAGTTTTTTTTTTTAATGTAACCCTAAAGTATAAAGAAATCATTTTTCTTTCTTCTTTGTTCAAGTCAGCCTAGTGAAGTATAAACGTTGAAGCGTCCACATAGATGTGCTGCTCTATAAGTGTTGCCTCTTCAGGAAATTGGTAGGTGATTTATACAAGAGATGTAGTTCAACAGAAAAAGCATTGGATAATTTTTTCAATAGGGTTGAACTTTCTCAAGTTAAACATAACATCTTTCTGACATTTATAAGGATAGGCTAAGAACAAACTTCACTTTCATTTTTGTTTGGGAGCAGAATACCTTAAAAAGAAAATATTTTTTTCATAATATTACTTATTTTTAAGTATCTCTCTGGTAGCCATTTTTTCAATATCTAGTTTTCAGCATTTTACTATATGTAAAATCATAGAGTCATCATTACATGGTCTGGAAAGAAGTAAAAATTTTCAGAAGTCTATCCTCATAAAGGAGAGACTAAAGGCAAATTCCATGTCAGTCATTTAGTTTATTTCTTTGTTTTGTTTTTAAAATAAGATATATTAACCCAAAGGTGTGTTAATGTCAAGGCATGAACAATCTTAAATGTAGACCTACTGAGTATTTTGTGATGCTGAGTAAAAGACTTTTCAAATCTCTGTGATGCTGAGTACTTTCCTTAGAAAGTTTTGTTTAATGTTAGATTGTCGTTCTGAAAGATGTTGGTCCTAGTGGGATTTTTAAACACTTGGAAAACAAAAAACGCATGTATTACAAGTATAGATATGGTGAATTGTAAACTTGCCGTATAGTACTGATTCTATTTTCAAAAATGTTTCACTGTTAAATATAGACAACATGAAATTGCTGCCATTCTGTAACTGAGTACTTTTTCCTAAATGACCCTGTTATCACTATTCCAGAATTAGACATTGGGCAGATATATGATTAACTCATGTGTCTGCACAGATGCTTCAAGGTATATTCTTCTCTTGGTGAGTAAAACAATAGTTTCCTTGGCATCGATGCATTGAGACTTGAATATACCTGTATCTATTCTTATTGCTCATTTCTTATGCAGTATCTTCTCATATGCTAAAACTGGCCCAGGCACAACTAAAAATTGAGGGTTTGTTACATGCTTTCTAACAGAAAGGTTTTCAATGATATTAATTATGGGTTTGTACTGGGAAAATAGTGGAACTCCCTCTTCAATTTCATATTTGCTAAATTTAAATTAATATTTTTTCTTTAGCTCACAAATTACCCTAAATCCAGAGAGAATATCAACCCTTTTCACTGTTGTCAAACCAACCATAAGGAACAGCCCTATGATACTACAAAAACAGTTGAGGAATAAGGAATAAATCTCTTATGTTACAATCCAGAATAAAGGCATTTGGTGAAAGAAATGAACCGAAGTTCATCATGAATGCAAGGCTTCTGTACTTGGCATTCCTCCACGGAAGGGAAGACACGTATCAACACCATTGGCGTCATTTTCAAACTGATCTTATGTGAGAAACCCTCCACCACACTGGAGTACTTTTCAACTCTATCAGGTTTTGGGCTATTTTTGTTTGTTTAACTCATCGAGCCTTTAAGTTTTCAAACCACCATCTGTCAACAATGAGGTAGAAGATATGTAGATTTGAAAATACTTTCTTAAGAGATCATGTAACTATATAACTCTGAATTTTAAAATTGAGGGTGGAATGGATCATTTCAACCACTGCCTCTACAAGAAACATTTTTTTGAAAATCTGTAACTGCTTTAGTGTTAACAGGGTACAAGGTGTTTTTTGTCCTGTATTGTATTTAAAAGGTTCTCACTGATTGTGATTGTATTGTACTGTATGGAAAGAAATCATAAATTGCCTTGTATTGTTTATAATAGATCACACCACATGCTATTTCAGTTTCCATGTTCCAAGTTTTTCAGTGATGCATGTTAACAGTTAGGTCCTAAAATTCTGTGGTGCTAATTCTTCCATACCCAATGGTGCTTCTGTGGATGCTAACTGCACACATGCTGAACAAAGCTTGAAGTTTAAAACTTTCCTCCCTTCCTCTGTTTATATGAAGTAAAATAAAATAACTTGAACTTGTCTCAAAGTATCACTGACAATCTAATAAACTGGTTTATATGTGTACTTCGTTTGGATTCTTTTTTCAGAAATCCCTCCAGTTCTACCGGGTTCCAAATGTTGATCTTACTTTGTGTTTATTTAATTACTGTTTATTTTGTGTGCCAAATTTGTGATATCTTTAGGAATTTAAATCCAGTTGGCCTGGCTTCTACAATCATATTCAATAGAACCTACAAAAACAATCTTACCAGAACTGGAAATAAAAAAATTGAAAAGATAAAAAATGTGCCAAAAGAATGCTTTTATCTATTTTGGAACTTTATTAACATTTTTAATCATCTGGTTGAGGCAGACAATAACATTTGCGTGAGAGAAAGTGTGTCTCCAAAACCTGTATCTCAGCTCAGCCAACAATGAAAAGGCCATTCCTATAGGCTCATATTTAAAGAAAGATTTGGTGCTGGGGATACAGATCAGTGATACAGCACCTGTCTACCATCCCTGAGGTGCTGGGTTCAATTCACAGCACCATGAAATATTAAAGTAAGATTTCACTTCTCATGTCTGAAAATAAGGGCCAAAGAATCAAATTTGAATTTTCCAGAACAAATTGACATTGTGTCAGATAGCATAGTAAATAAATCCGTGGCAATGGTTTTATTAAATTTTAAACTTCAGCATCTATATTAAGAATCACAGCACTAAGATAAGTGATCCTGCTAATATTTGTATGAGGGTAGAGAATTGTTTTTCCCAAGCCAGAGATAAATTCAATATTAAGGCAGTATGCACATTTGGATTCCAAACTTGGTGTCTTGCCTAACCTAAAGGCAAGATTAAATTTTAAAGAATAAAGAAAAAATGGAAACAAGTGCACTAAAGCTCCTCAAACAACGATCACTGAACTCAAGTAGAAGGTGATCAAACTTACAAGTCTAATAGAGTAGGTCTGATGACTGAAATGAGATTCCCATACTACTAGCTTTTTCCTGTAAATTTTACCTCGGTGCTAATTAAATTGTGTCTAGATTCTAATATCTGAAAATAACAGAACAGAGCTAATGTGAACACTAAGCTTGTGTCTCTGTAACCATCTGTGATAAATGCAGTATTTACTAAATCACAGTCTTTCTGGTAGATATTTCTGCTTTATGTTTTGCTAACTACATTTGCAGCATTCCATTTTATGAAAACTGGTGAATAATAAATGTGCCACAAAATGATTCTCCACTTTTGTTCACAAAAAAAAGACAGAGAAGTCTATTTATGTTTTAGATAATCTTTATGTCCATAGCAATATCTTGCCTATTAATAGAAACAAAAATCAATTCTAATTTCATGAAAGGATGAGAAAAACATGAGTGAATTTTGGGGGAAAAGTCTTTTTAATCTATCAGAAAAAAAATCTCAAATTTTGACACCACTATCAGTAGTCTGTGTTATTGTTCACCATAATGTTTGTGTCTTTTGAAAAAACTACTCTCGGAATTTTTCATCAGCTTTTTGGGGCTACTGAAATAATATTTTAAAACTTAGCAGCCTTAAGTAAAATGAACACACTTTGTATGTTTGGTTCATTTATGAAAATGATTTGATCCCACGAGTGAAGCCATGGTATGAGTTTAGTAAATTGTCTTTTCTGACCTTAAAACAATAATTTTCCTTAGGAATCTGAGGCTCAAAATGTTTTCCCTAAATCCTTGTAGGAAAGTATTTTCAAAAAAGACCCAGATATTCTTCATTGGGGAAAATCTTTTGAAATAAATCTTATTAACACTGAAAGCCTAATCTTACTCCTGTTAGGAAACTAATCTTACTGATGTTAGGGCACTAATTTTTCTCCTCAGAAATTGCTTTGAATTTGAAAATAGCCATTGATAGTTATCATCTTAAGAAACTACAAAGAGGACTCAATCTATATCATTTCAGGTTTTGTCTACCTGTGTTCATTTTTTTTTTTTTGAGACAGGGTCTCACTATGTAGTTGAGACTGACCTTCAACTCACTATGTAGCCCAGCCTGCTCTCAAATGTACAGTGATCATCCTGCCTCAGCCTCCCGAGTGCTTACCTGTGTTCATTTTTATAGTTGTTGAAGTGAGTGCATACGGAGTTACACTATGACTAAAGTGATTTTCTTATACTCTATCATGCAGAGGGATGTGTATTTTTGAAAAATAAGTAAAGAGTAATACAATTCAAACAAAAATAAGTGAGTAGTATTCCATAGAGTCAAAAAAATCATAAAATGATTCAAACTCAGCACTCCATATATTCTCCCAAGTTGTTCTCTTACAATTCTGAGTGAGTGGGAGGTAAAGCTTACACTTTTTTTGCAAAGCATAACATTTTCTGTCATGAAAGACTTGACAAAAGACTGTCTCATGAGTGAAGGGTTAGCCTTCATTTTTATGTAATTAGAAACTCAGTTTTCTTTATTTAATCAGAACAAATTCATAAGAGACTCCTTTTAAGCACAGTCATTAGAAAACATCTTCAGCCCCAGTTAGCCAATGGAGAAACCAATTAGTTTACAACAAAATGAAGTGTTACTCCTAGGAATTGGTGTTGGAAAGAAGCTGCGTATAACAAGTGGACCTGAATTTTCATTTTGCTTTTATAGTTATTATTATTTTAGGAAATTATGTTTATAATTCAAACATGACTTTTTGACGGAAAGAAATAAATGCAAGGCAGACTTTAACATCTTTATCAACTGGTCAGCATGTTCTATTTTCAATAGAAAAACCAACTCCCAAATATGACTAACTCCAGAATGTCGTTTGGCAAGCATAAAATCAGATAAAAGGAAATGAGTGGTATTCATGAGTGGCATCCCGTTATGACAGACTCTACTATGTAAACCTACAAGGCAACAAGAAGAATCATTTTGTCCTATCAGAGTCATCCCCAGCCCGAGATGAAAACCACTAATAAATCCTTATGCTTTAAATCTTTTCTCTAGACTCCATATGAGTCACCATCCTTCAGTATGATTATTGCTCATATAATTAAGCCACATATTCTCTTACAGTTAGTATCACTTTAAGATCCTCCAAATAGTGCCACTTTTATGATTATCATTCAACCTTAAGCATTATTAATCATATGATTACATAATCATATATTAGTGCCTCGTATAATCATTATTATTATTAATCATTTGCTATAATTATCATTAACCATTTACTATCTTTATATGTATCATACACCACTAACAAAAGTTTCACATACAATAGCTCTCTGACCTTGATTCTTGATAGAGAATTGCCAGTTCTGATTCAGTAGTAATGATTAATGAAATCCCTTAATCTTATAATAGACCCCTCCAGTAGACCACGACTTCATTACAATGAACCACATGTAGCTCTAAAATCTTTTTGAACCCAGCACTCTCATGGCAGCCACTACCAGGTGACCACACTTAGCATGCAAGATTGGCATACCTACCTTTCTGTCCTATACCCCCACCAGTACATATCCAAGCCACCTATTAGTCTGAGACCTGCAAGAAGCCAATGCCAGCATGGGATTAGATGTGCAAAACATTTATTGCAGGTAATTCCAATGAGGAAAAATAAGAAGTTAGTCCAGGAGCCATCAGAATACAGTGCAGGTCTGTCCCCATGTGAAGAAAGAGAAAAAGCTACAGAGGAAGAAAGAAAGGGAAAAGAAAATAAGGAAGTTACTTTTTAGACTGAAGTGTGATTTTAAATAAGCTTCAGCCAGACTTATGGAGCCCTTGAGCTAAACTTGTCCTTCAGAGGATGCCAGCGTCTTGCAGGTACAGGTCTGCTTAGGATCTCCACCACGTTTAGGAGCAGCCTAGGGAGCACATCATCACTGAAAAGATGGTAAAAGATTTTGGAGCACTGCAGCTGAGTCAATGGTCAATTAGGTGGAGATTTAGATTTATACAGCACAAACTAGAATCTTGATAGCCATGAAAGCACATCTTTCCAATTTCCTACTGCAAGGAGCATAATCAACTCATAGGCTGTTTCTGCATCCTCTGAGGCCAGCTTCTGCATAGTGTGGTACCCTGTTGTATGCCTACCACACCTGCCTCCTCTTCTGTAAACTGGATACACTGAAGTCTGTACCACCATGGCCAGTCTGTCCATGTGTCCATCACTCTAATTCTGAGATGGCCAATGGCAACATAAGTCATGTCAGATGGTTTAAGTTATTTTGACTACTTGGTTGTCAAGCGCCTCTTCTGCGGTGAATGTTAATATGTAATACAAAAT